TATCCGGCCGAACTGCTTCACGTCCTCGACGAGCGTTTGCAGAGGACCGCCCAATGCAGCACGCTGAGGAGCACCGCTGTTCAATGCAGCAGGCTGAGGAGCACCGCTGTTCAATGCAGCAGGCTGAGGAGCACCGCTGTTCAACGCAGCAGGCTGAGGAGCACCGCCGCTAGACTGAGAACGACCAGCATGTCCTGGCATCAAGGTGTGCAGTAGGCGCTGCGCAGTTCCTTGGAAAGGAAATCTTCGAAAGCAGGTCTCTAGCCAAGAAGGCTACGGGGATGATGATGATGATGATGATGATGATGATGATGATGATTGTGATGATGATGATGATGATGATGATGATGATGATGATGATGATGATGATGATGATGATGATGATTGTGATGATGATGATGATGATGATGATGATGATGATGATGATGATGATGATGATGATGATGATGATGGTAGCAGCAGCAGCACCAGTAGCAGCAGCAGTTGCCTGTGTCTGTGACTGGTTGTAGAGGGAGCCGTAGAGGGGGCCGTACAGGGAGCCAATCACAGGCACAAGGCACAGGCGACCAGTCACGTATATGTATATGTGTACGTGCATGTGCATGTATATGTATATGTGTTCAGTCTGCCTTCAGTCTCGGCCTCAGCCTCAGCCTGCCTCAGCCTCAGCCTGCATCAGCCTCAGCCTCAGCCTCAGCCTGCCTCACCATCAGCCTGCCTCAGCGTCTGCCTCAGCTTGCCTCAACCTCAGCCTCAGCCAGCCTCAGCCGTAGCCTCGGCCTCAGCCTCCGCCTGCCTCAGCCTCAGCCTGCATGAGCCTCAGCCTCAGCCTCAGACTGCCTCAGCATCAGCCTGCCTCAGCCTCAGCATCAGCCTGCCTCGGCCTCAGCCTCAGCCTGCTTCATCCTCAGCCTCAGTCTGCCTTCAGCCTCGGCCTCAGCCTCAGCCTGCCTCAGCCTCAGCCTGCATCAGCCTCAGCCTCAGCCTCAGCCTGCCTCAGCATCAGCCTGCCTCAGCCTCAGCCCCAGCCTGCCTCAGCCTCAGCCTCAGCCTGCTTCAGCCTCAGCCTCAGTCTGCCTTCAGCCTCGGCCTCAGCCTCAGCCTGCCTTAGCCTCAGCCTGCATCAGCCTCAGCCTCAGCCTCAGCCTGCCTCAGCATCAGCCTGCTTCAGCCTCAGCCTCAGCCTGCCTCAGCCTCAGCCTCAGTCTGCTTCAGCCTCAGCCTCAGTCTGCCTTCAGCCTCGGCCTCAGCCTCAGCCTGCATCAGCCTCAGCCTGCCTCGGTCGCAGCATCAGCCTGCCTCAGCATTCAAAATGTGGCCCAGGAACGGAGTTCTGGGAACTAAAAGAACACGAAGTGGCCTACAGTTGGCTCCGGGCATTCAAAATGTGGCCCGGGAATGGAATTCTGGGAACTCGAAGAGCACGAAGTGGCCTACAGTTGGCTCCGGGCATTCAAAATGTGGCTCGGGAATGGAGTTCTGGGGACTCGAAGAGCACGAAGTGGCCTACAGTTGGCTCCGGGCATTCAAAATGTGGCCCGGGAGTGGAGTTCTGGGGACTCGAAGACCACGAAATGTTCAACTGTTTGCTTAAAACGAGCCCGGCCCTCGTCGTGTTCCGCCCGATCGGCTGCTCCCCGGATCCTGCCCGGACCCCCCTGGGGAGTCGATATGTTCTCTTTTGACCCCACTAGGAACCTATCAGTCTTCGCTGTTAGGTAAAAAAATTATCCTGGCGAAGGACCCAACCATATGCAAACGTGAATACCGCAGGGCAGGTGGGACGAAGCAAAATGAATTCCCAATATGGCCACGAACCGTGTGAGGGGTGCGCCACACTGGGGCGGGGCCGCCATGCGAACCCTGCCACTGAGGCCTTCGGTGGAGCTCCTTATGTCCCTGCGGGGCCACGAACCGTGTGAGGGGTGCGCCAATATGGGGCGGGGCCGCCATGCGAACCCTGCCACTGGGGCCTTCGGTGGAGCTCCCTATGGGGCCACGAACCGTGTGAGGGGTGCGCCAAAATGGGGCGGGGCCGCCATGCGAACCCTGCCACTGGGGCCTTCGGTGGAGCTCCCTATGGGGCCACGAAACCGTGTGAGGGGTGCGCCAAAATGAGGCGGGGCCGCCATGCCAACCCTGCCACTGAGGCCTTCGGTGGAGCTCCCTAGGGGCCACGAACGTGTGAGGGGTGCGCCAAAATGAAGCGGGGCCGCCATGCGAACCCTGCCACTGAGGCCTTCGGTGGAGCTCCCTATGGGGCCACGATCCGTGTGAGGGGTGCGCCAAAATGATGCGGGGCCGCCATGCGAACCCCGCCACTGGGGCCTTCGGTGGAGCTCCCTATGGGGCCACGAACCGTGTGAGGGGTGCGCCAAAATGGGGCGGGGCCGCCATGCGAACCCTGCCACTGGGGCCTTCGGTGGAGCTCCCTATGGGGCCACGAACCGTGTGAGGGGTGCGCCAAAATGGGGCGGGGCCGCCATGAGAACCCTGCCACTGGGGCCTTCGGTGGAGCTCCCTATGGGGCCACGAACCGTGTGAGGGGTGCGCCAAAATGGGGCGGGGCCGCCATGCGAACCCTGCCACTGGGGCCTTCGGTGGAGCTCCCTATGGGGCCACGAACCGTGTGAGGGGTGCGCCAAAATGGGCGGGGCCGCCATGCGAACCCTGCCACTGGGGCCTTCGGTGGAGCTCCCTATGGGGCCACGAACCGTGTGAGGGGTGCGCCAAAATGGGCGGGGCCGCCATGCGAACCCTGCCACTGGGGCCTTCGGTGGAGCTCCCTATGGGCCACGAACCGTGTGAGGGGTGCGCCACAATGGGCGGGGCCGCCATGCGAACCCTGCCACTGGGGCCTTCGGTGGAGCTCCCTATGGGGCCACGAACCGTGTGAGGGGTGCGCCAAAATGAGGCGGGGCCGCCATGCGAACCCTGCCACTGAGGCCTTCGGTGGAGCTCCCTATGGGGCCACGAACCGTGTGAGGGGTGCGCCAAAATGGGGCGGGGCCGCCATGCGAACCCTGCCACTGGGGCCTTCGGTGGAGCTCCCTATGGGGCCACGAACCGTGTGAGGGGTGCGCCAAAATGGGGCGGGGCCGCCATGCGAACCCTGCCACTGGGGGCTTCGGTGGAGCTCCCTATGGGGCCACGAACCGTTTGATGGATGTGCCGAAATAGAGGCATGCGGAGGGTGATGGTGATGATGACGACCATGTTGGTGCTGATGATGATGACGATGACGATGATGATGATGATGATGATGATGATGATGATGATGATGATGATGATGATGATGATGATGATGATGATGATGATGGTGGGTGATGACGATGATGCTGATGATGATGACGATGAGACGAGGAGGGAGGAGGCAGCGGGAGGAGGAGGAAGGAGGAAGGAACGCGGGGCACCGTCTCTTCGAAACGAGGACCCAACACCACAGGATGGTTGGGAATTCGCCTCCAAACGTTCTGCTATTGGTCAGAGCTGACAAGGCGCGGCTGCTGGAACGCACCCCGAGGCTGAAGACCGCCGTGAGCCGACGGGAACGTCGAACAATCTCGAGCCTTGAACCTCTGCTACTCGCGACGAGAAAAATCCAGCCCTGGGAGTCGACGAAACGAGGAAATCCTATCAGCCCTCTGTGCGTTGGTGGTCACATGCTGGTGCTCTATCCTCGTCCAACACTTCTCTTCCCTTGGGGAAGGATGCCCTCCCACTCCCCTCCGCCGTATGGTTGTTTGGGGGGGTCCGCGAGGTGTCAGGGGGTCCTTTCTCGCCCAAGATGGCTACAACAGGGGATGGCTCAAAATAGCCGACGAGGACTCAAAATGGCTTCCACTACACTCCAAGAGACCCCAAAGACCGCTCCAAGACGGCCTCAAGTGCTCTCGGAGCCTCCTCGAGACCCTCCCAAGAAGGCCAGATCCATCAAAAACCTAGGGAACATAAATGAGTTTCGCCGTCTCGCTTTTTCGTTTCCGTTTGGCTTTTGAGGTCTCGAGATGGCCCCAAGCCCAAGAGGCACCCAAGACGGCCCCAGGAGCGCCCAAGAGCGTCCCAAGAGGGCCCCAAAAGGCGATAGGACGTTCCCTCCTTTGATCGATGGTCTCCAAGATGGCCCCAAGAGGCCCTCCAGGGCTCCTAAGACAGCCCCGAGACCCCCAAAGAACCCCTTAAGAGGGCCGCGAGACAGCCCCAAGAGGACACCATAAAGGCCTCGAGGAGACCCCAAGACGGCTGCCAGAGTCCTTGTCCTCGGCCTCGTCCTCGTCATTGTCATCGTCGTCCTTCTCCTCCTCCTCCTCCTCCCCCTCCTCCTCCTCCTCCTCCTCCTCCTCCTCCTCCTCTTCCTCCTCCTCCTCCTCCTCCTCCTCCTTCGTTCCGCGTGAAGAGTTGCAACATCGCGAAAAATCCCGACCAGATCCCTAGACCCCATTGTCCTGCTGCATGTTCGAGCCAGATCGATCTGTGATGATCCCAGGGTCGGAAATCTATCGAAAACGCCCAGTGTGAAAAAAATGCAGTGCCCAAATTGCAGAACAACTGCTGCTGCTCCCCAGCGTGGCGAGGGGTCGGCGAGGCGCGGGAACTGCCGAGCACCGACGGGAACGTCCGAAAGCCTCCAGCCTCGACCCTGCCGTTGACCCTGTACAGTCGGGGACAGAATAACATACTGCTGTACTAAGTGAACACGAGCCCCACCACTGGCACAAAAAGACCCCCAAACATAAGATCACCGAGTGCCCCTTTCCGAGGAATCACCCGACCTTAACTCCTGGGCTATCGAAGAAACTGCATGGCCTGGAATCCCAAACTTACCAGAACGAACGAACAAAGCTGTCAAGCGGAAGAACATTCCAGGGTACCCTTCCCCAGGCTGCACAAGAGCGTGCAGAACAAAAACGATAACATTCGATACTCTACCCCAACCGATCATGTTCTTACGCCTCGTTCCGACCGTAGCTTTCCGAGGGGTTGGCGAGAGTCGCGGGGCCGCCTTGTTGAAATTGCCCGGCGACCGCGGGAAGTGCGGGCTGACGGCCGCTGGCGGGCTGCTGGGCTGCGGCCAGTTGAAGGGGGAGCTCAGGCTCTGCGGCGTGAGGCGCTGCAGGCCGCTCTGGTG